ATGCAGATTCAGTGGGAGTAGATGATGCGATTGCACTTTCTAACAGAAAGCCTAATGAGCTAGTACTTGAATAAACAAAGATCAACTGCAAAAAGCAAGCATACAGTTACAAAAAGTATTCTCAGCCTCATACCACAGCGGAAGCAAAAAGTCACCTCTGCCAACTTAAAACCAAAGCCAATAGGATTTAATTTCTATTAAAATATTTAAGTCTTAAAGTTTCAGTAATCTAAATACACTTCTTAAAAGTCATGACAATTGCTGTTTTACATTAAACTGACATGAAATCAGACCGCAGTGTCAGACTTCACTGCAGCTATTATATACAAGGTCTCCGGTTTTGTCCTTTTTTCGCTGAAACACTGATTCCCATCTCTCTCTCTAAAGCTTAATGGCCAAGTTTGCTCCTTATCAGGTTTGCAATTTTTCTGAACGTGAAAACCACCTGTATATACGCTGACACCACCTCTTCCCTCGAGCAGTTCTCTCCTTAGAGAAACCTGCCTCATCACCCTCCCGCCCTGCGCCGGAGGGCTGGGCTCTGCTGGAAGGCTGCAGGCAGACGGGTGTTCCTTCACTGCAGCCTCACCTCTCTCCGTCGGACCAACACACTGAATTAATTCAGTAGGACCAGGTGGCTTGTGGACAAAATAGGCAGCTCCAAAACAGGCTCAATTCATTGGTGGCGGCTGAATGCGGGCATCTACAATTTCTGCATTTCTAAGGCAAGGACCATACAAAAATTATAAACACTGTATGGCGATGAAAATACAACTTCTTTGAGATATATGCTTTACACTGGATTTCTATTGCTGCTTCTAAAGACCATCTCCAGTTGTTTCTAGAGATCAAAAGGGAAGAAAGTTCATTTTCTCCTGTTGCAATATGCTTATGAACATGTATAAAAAGTGGTCAAACCCCAATAAGGGTCCCTGCTTCTCATTTATGTACAATAATTTAAATCAGCTCAATACATCTGTAATACCTAAAAAAATTGGTTTATGTTTTTAAGTCCTTCATGCATTATGAGGAAGTTCTGGATTAAAGTGATGGTATATTGGATGTTTCTTCTGTCTGGGACTCTGGTGTCACTCCCCTGTGGAGTCTGTCAAGGATGCATTTCTCAAATCTTTAGTTTTTTAATGGTATCAAGTCTCTTTTTCAGCAGCTCTCCAATTTCCTGAACTGAATGATGGTAACTGCTCTGGACTTTCCCTTGCACAGTCTTTGTAAACTTTTTTTCTTCCTGCAAAATGCAAAAGAGAAATCATTCACTCCATGGCAACTGTTTAAATCCTCCTGTTAAACTTCCCCCACCATCTCAAACACTGATAAGAAATTCATGAGGACCACAGTGTAAGTTTACAAAGGGAATGTCATCAGCACAGTACACGCTGCACCTGCTCAGCAACAATAATTCCTAGGGATAATGGTTTTGCCCAGACAGGGCTGGTAAAACATTAGTATTTCTTCAAAACATCTGGAAATATCCTTGTGCAAGATATCTGTGGCTGAAATTGAGAGTGCACGTAGCACTTTATTTTAGTCAGTATTTATTAAAATATAGAATTTCTTATACAGAAAAGCGAAGTCAAACAGCAAATGAAGGCTGAACAGCTAAGAGACTCTTACACCAAATTCCAAAGCACAGAGAGCTGCAGTGACTGGGACAGGCTCTTATGTCGCTAATTCACAGCAACACTGGTACCTAGCTTTCCCAAAGGGATTAGATTCCCTTTAATGTGCAGTTTTCTAAAATCCCCATGCTAAAAGGCTTTTAGGAGGACCACCACCGTGCCACACTGCTGGCATTGCTCCTGCAGGTAGAGTGCAGTTAGCACAGACCTATCATGAACAATGCTGTATTTCTGTACACAGAAAGAGTAAATCCTGGTACCCAAAGCAGCAGCCATAACCACTGTTCTGTCAAGAGGTGACTTGCTACCAGGATGCCTTTACCAGTCACTTGTACACATGACAGCAGAAAAGCCTGTGAGGCACAGCCTGAGCAAACCAATCCGATGTGGGAAAATCTCACGTCACCAGCAAGGTTGAACTGACACATTGCCAGTAGCACTCTATTCACACTAGAATTTTCACTAATAACCTGAACATGAGGACTTCTGAAAAAGCAACTTTTAGCTCTAAACACATAGAGCTGCAAACATAGCTCCAGGTCTGAGGGGAGCTACAGACTGCGTTTATCAGGGTTTACCACGACAATGTCAAACAACAAACAGAATAGCAAACATCGTGAACAAACACAGGAAAAGCTGCAGACTCCCACAGATGCTTCTGCTCAAATCCACGTAAATCTAAGAGTTGGGTTTTGCAGATCTGCCTTGTGTAGTAATTGGATGCCTTGAGGATTTGCTGACTCAGTGAGGAACCAGAAAAATTACAAATTCAACAGTTATCTGAAAATGTCTTATCTCTTTAAAGTGAAGATTCTTTGATGGTATTAGGAAAATGTACTACTTAGGTTTTATTCAAATTCGCACTAAATACAGTCTAAGGTATTTCCTTGCTTTCTATCAGTTTCTTTGTTCTTGCAGTTTGTTTTTTTTAATATGTATATTTGAGATACTTCTACATCAACCTCATACAGCAACAAGAAAAGGGAAATTTTAAGTAAAGTGCTATGAAATAAACAGGACAATCTAATTGGAAAAACACAAGCTGGCTAACTCAGTCCCTCTCCTCTTCACATGTCTAAATTGGGAATGAGGTTTGGCATGTGCAGTAGTGCCTATTACTCCTGCCTTTGGTTTTCCCTATATAGCTGGGGGAGGTGGGGGTGTTGCCACTTGTTTTTCTTAAAAAAAAAATAATCAAGTAATTGTTTCCAGGGAAGTGACTAATCAGCAGCAGGTGAATCTCAAATATTTCCTGGAATAAGTGCTTTGCATCCATCACAGCATGCTAAAATATAGATAATAGTCATATCACAGACAACAAACTGATGTTAAAATCTTGAGTTTTTCTTCTCTAGCATACCACAAAAAATGAAAGTATTTTTGAACTCCTGTGTTTAAATTTCATTTTTTGAGATTTTGTGCAGCAAGCTAGAGCTGATCAGATGAGGCAAAGTCACTGCCACTATAAAAAAAACCCCTTAACTTACCACTCTGAAACTAAGCAGTCTGGTCCCTAACCTCTGGTTAAGAGTCATTAAATCAATCATAACAGGTGCAGGGGATTTTTTGTTTAGGTTATTTTTTTTTTTCCCTTTCAGTAAAACATTCTGGGAAAAGAAGCTTTCAACAAAGTTATCCCATAGGCACGCACATACAGGTTGTTATTGGTCACAGATAAATGTATAGAGCACACAAATAAAGATGCAAGTTCTTACCTGTAAAAGCAGAGTGTCCTTGAGGGACAGCTCTTCAAGTTTTAGTGCAGTCAGAATTATTTCAAGCCCTTTGATGTGATCTATTACATTGGAAGTTAATGTCTGTAGTTCAGTAACATAATCCAGAAAATGTGTAAATACAGGTGGCTATAAAAACAAATACATTTACAAACACATATTTTTATTTGACAACTGAGTTCATAACATCTATCATTTTATTCTATCCCCCCCAATCTAAACTGTAATCTACCTACCCAGATAAATGCTACCAGTTATCTAGTTTACTGTAGTGCAATCAAGGCAGAAAGTCCTTGACACCCTAAACCATTTGCTATTAAATAGCTGTCATGTGATATCAGAGATGTAGCATGTCACCATTTGATTTTAAACAGAAAAGGAGTGCTAAAAATTACTATTGAGTAATCTCTAACCTGTGTGAGCCTCTACAAGGCAAGATTTATGAAAAACAGGGGGTTTTAGCATGATCTATCCTGATTTTTCCTTCTGTATAATTATGTTTTTGGATTGGGTCACCATTTGATTTTAAACAGAAAAGGAGTGTTAAAAATTAGTACTGAGTAATCTCTAACCTGTGTAAGCCTCTACAAGGTGAGATTTATGAAAAAACAGGTTTTTTTAACATCATCTATCCTGATTTTTCCTTCCGTATAACTATGCTTTTGGATTGGCGGTGGGGAGAGAAAAGAAAGGAATACTATTTACCATAGCTACACTGCTTTCCTTTTTTTTCTTCTTCTTTTTTTGCAGGTTGGATTTAAAAGGTCGGAGAACACTGTCACAGTAACTTGATACCCACAGGGCAATGGAGATCGTCTGGAAAAAAGGTACAAGTTGCATTTACAGGAGGCTTCTAAACTCATTTTAGTGTTCCTACTGATAAGACTCACACTAGTTAGAATATGCAACAAAACCTCTGCTTTTATGAGTGACTGAGATCAAAGAACTTTCATTGTGTGTTAGTCCCAACATTTCTACCCTGAAGTACTCCAAAATTTCTAGATTTCAAAGGAAAAAAATACCTCAACAAAGAAGACTAGGTTTTCTAACAGGTTTGGATGTGTTTTCAAGGTGCCATCTCTGACTTCAATCAAATCACCTTTACATTTATTAAACAAGTCTGAAAAGAAAAAAAGAAAAGCCATATTCAGGACACATAGACCAACTTAAACACGTACTTTCTGTTACAGTAAGTATCTCAATGCAGTGTGTAGAGCTGTCAGAGGACTGACCACTAGGCAGTTAATGATAAATTTGGCCAAAGCCTCTTGAGTAGGTCCAGCTCTGAAGTTTCCTCTGAATTGTATTTTCGTTACAAACAGTACCTCCACTCCCTGGACCAAGTACCAGGGAGACAACAGTTGCTAAGACAAGGATGAAAGGCAGCGAAACGATAGAACAAAATGACATTCTGTGGCATGCAACAGCTTCATGACCAGACAAGCCAAGGGGAATCTCAGCCTTGCTCTCAAGTATCTTTCAAAGGGGTCTGCAGATGCATTAACACACTCCCCCACAATTGCAGCACACTCAGCAGCACATCCTCAGAGCAGCAGGAAGCACTACCTTAGCTACCCATGTTTATTCTTGAGTTACCATTTACCTGTTAGTCGTTCTACTAAAGACTTGAAACTATTCCCTATCCTCTCTTGGATTTCTGCTGAATCTTCTGAAAGGAAAAAAAGAAAGTAGTTATAAACTACAAGATTGTGTATTTTCTGCTTCAAGAAAACCAAGAGGCATTTAAATGTAATTTAGCGTTAGCAGTCAAAAGCAAATGCAACTGCTTTTAAGGAAGATGCAGTATTATATCAACATATACTGTACAAAAATGAAAACTCTCATAAAACATTAAGGTATCATCTCAGATAACTTAGTGTTATTCAGAAAATTAATTTGGGTCCACATCATCCAATGCCTAGTAGTTTTCAAACTAAATGGAGACACATCTTGCTCCCTCCCGCCACCCATTGTAACAATCTGGTTAAACCCCTGCCCCTCAAACACTTACCTAAGCCATTGGTATCTAGTTCATAAATATCACTAACAAGATAAAACAAGCTAGTCTGGCACTGACAGCTGCCATTACTGAAGAAGCCAGCCATTCGGGTAGGAGGAGGGCCAAGGACAGGATACTAGGCAAGAAGCAAAGAAAAAGATAAAGGTGTTGCAGCTTTTCCTTATCCAGAACACAGTGTTTGTCTCTGGCACATCTCTCAGTCAGATTCATACACTACAAACTCAGGGTCAGTTAAGTGCATTCTGCAGCCTGCCGGACGTTACAAGATGCATTCAAGTTTCTCTGCTTGCATTCACGTTCACTTAATATTTGGGGAAAGCTTTTTTCCCTTAATGGGTACCTGAATTTTTTGTTCTAGAAACTTCTTCCCTGAATCCACTGCCACTTCCAGCTGCTGAAGCAGGGATCGAATTGTATCGATCTTGGATGAGACGCCGTTCTCTGCAGTCTTTTCAGAGTTCTTTGGTTGAATAGTGTGACTAAGAGTTGGGAGTCCGCTTACTAGCCTTAAAGTTAAAGACCGGATTCGCAACCACACGGTTTCTTCCTCCAGTGAGAGTTTCCTATGTTCTTCAGAAATGTCCCTAGAGAAAGGCACCAAATGTTTTCAGGCAAATGCTTCAATTTTGCAAAGCAGCAAGTTTCACTCAGGTACAAAAGCCTACCCAAAGTTACTGAATACTGTATGAAGAGACAGGAGTTCAGGAAACTGTATTAATATGTAAAAAGGCAGCACTGCTAGAAGCGATGAGTGATGCTTGTTAAGTTTGCAGTTAGCCAGCCTACAGAACATTTAAATACAGCAGTTTCCCTGAAAGGATTTTCTTTGCCACGTGTGCTGTGAGGAACAGGCGTGACTCCGCAGTTGCGGATATTGCTACCCACCTGTCTTTTGGATCCCAGTTAAACAAAACCGTCAGGTCTCTGTTGTCACGCAAATCTTTCCATGGAATGTCATCCTCCTCTGGACTGAGACTCATAGACTTTATACTTTCTTCTAAACTGGTTGATCTGTACATAAGAATAAGTAACATTAAATCAAACAATCACTGGAAACAGAAATGCTACACATTCATAGAACTGACACGGACGCTGAAGGGGAGAGCAAATCAGAAGTAGAGAAGTAGCCGACAGGTTTTTGCCAAAGAGCTGCAAGTGCAACTCATGAAGGTCTCACTTGACCCGTGTTCTGTCTGTGCACAAATCTCCAATTTTTTCATGTGCAAGAGGTTGCACTTATCACTGCTGTACTTACATATTTGCTTCAAGTAAGAGGTCTAACAACATCCGTTCTGTGCGAACTTGCGCAAAGTGAAGGGAAGAGTTCAGCCTATTTCTAAATGCAATGAATTCTGGGATCTTCTCAAATGCACCGTACTTGTAGGCTTGAATGATATATTCTGAGGTCTGGAAGAAAACACACACCATCTCTATATTAGTTACTTCCATAAACTCTTGGTGGTTCTGAATTTAACAACAAGGTGACTGTCACGAAGTTGCTTTTCAGTGGTTTTCATTAGGGCAGAGGTACAGAATCTGGCAGATACTCAAGCCCTGGGAGAAGCTCGCACTTTTGCTTGTCCAAGTCACCCCAGCAAATTTTTTGCTACTTTAATCTGAGAATGCCCAGATGCTCCACTGGGCAGTGTGATTTAATAACCAAAGCAACACTAAGAAACATCACGTTGCTCTCACTACTAAAACTGAAAAATACTTAAAGAAGGGGAGAGATGATTTTGGAAGGCTTTTTTGTTTGTTTCTAACATGCATTATTCAAATCATCATTTCATTGTGACAAATACTTTCAGGCAAAATAAATATATCCCAGATTTTCTGGAACTGACTTGGATGTGCATCACATATTACCGCAACATAGATTAAAAAAATTACTCACACATTTTTTTATTTCTTTTTTTTATTAGATTTTTTTAATACAGCATCACAAGATAATACCATGCAGTGTATACACATTACAATACAATCTAAACACCAAAGGAAACTGTCAGGGTCCATGGGATAGTTTGCTTCCCCTCTGAAGAAATGCAGCAACACAAGGCACGCAACTAATATTTCACATCAGTCCAAGAAATCTCCAAGAAGGAGATTTACATGATGAAGGAGCCCCAAACAAGCACTGTATTTAATGAAAATTTCTAATGGTAGAGACAGAGTGAAAGATTTATGCTCCCAGTCAAGACAGATGGCTGTATTTTTTACATCAGAATTACTCCACAAGTCAGAAATTCTGACAAGTCAAGTATTTTCTTCTGAACAAGATTATGAAACGCACTGAAGATGAGAGGCACCAGGAAGGCCCCTGGTTCACTGAACTTTATATGGTACTAACAGACTCAACCTGTCTGGAAGGCTCTGAGAGACTAGAAGCTAGTATGGACATATGAAAGCCACCATTTTTTCCCCCTTTAAAATAAGAAATGTCCTCTAGGTAGCTCTTTTTTTTTTTTTCCCTAAGAAATTTGGTTATTTGCACTGTATGAAAAAAATATGCCAAATATTCAACAACATACCCTCTGATAAACAGCCTTGCAGAGTTCATTGTCAGGCTGCGGGATTGCGCTATGGGCGCTAATTCAACTGCATCGACGTGGTTTTTAAATCCCCATAGGATACGTTGGTGCTCTGTTTGCCTGCAGTATCTGGAGAAATTAAAGACGGACGGACACAAGAAAATTAGAGAGATTACTGGTGATTCTGCATATTTAAAGGAGGACTATCTTGATAAGGATAAAGTTGCCTTTTTAGTTGTGGCCAAATATAGCAATACTGCCGTCTATTCTCCTCCCTGTCCTTGGCATCCTCTCCCAGAGCAGAAACATTATGTCAGGACTGCACGGCATCCTAGATGGCTGTTACTCATGGGACCCACTCTTAAACAGGATTCACTTTGGGCTGTTATGTTCATTAAGTCAGAAGGAAAATCATACTTATCCAAAGCAATCAGTTTCAATCTGTAGCTGTATTTTTATATATATTTTCTGGCATATATTTTTATGCCAGATCAGTTCGTTTACATCCCACACCTCCTGTTCTAGGCAGAGTCCCCTGCAGAGCATGCCTCAGGACACGTTCTCTTTGCTGTACCAGACATTCCAGCTATCTTAAACACCAGCCCAGAGAGGAGCAGGCAGTATCTGAAATCATGTAAAAAGGTAACTTTTCAAAGGATAGTCCTCCTTTAACATTGCAGTCAGATGCTCTTACGGGACTCAAATGGGAAGCTGCTATCAGGACCCTGAGTATGAAGGGGCAACCCCAGCAGAACCACAGCAGCACAGAAACTGGTAGCAGATTCTGACCTTGTGATACCTGGGACATGCCTTTTTGGTCTTTTTGGTCTCCATTCTTGTCATGCCATCGTCCCAGCTGAACAGCACCCTGAATTGAGCCTTCACCTCCTGCAGTTTGCATCTTATGGTTGGTTTAAAGCACACTTTGTATTTGCAAATTACTACAGCTTTTGATGCATTTTTCAACTAGAAGAATCTTGAGGTGATAATCACTGGAAGTGTCCAGAAAACACAAGAGATTTGGCTGGCTCATGGTCCCGTGGTCGCAATACTCTGTCTCCAAGATGAGACGTGGATTCCAGAGTCACATCCTTATCTTGTAGCGTGAAGAATTCTATAATGCTGATTGCATCACTTTTGCCTCTCTTGCAATTTCAACCTTTTAAGGTGTGGTAGTGAGGAAGGTTGAACCATTCAGGCACTGCCTTTTCCGGATTTCTGGAACATGAGTTGAGTAGCATTTTCCTGGAAATAACACTTGAAACGTGGCTGTCTTCGTCTGCGTACAGATATTGAGCTACTGGAGACAGTCAGCTCTTCTCTGCAGCAAGCACCTTTAGCATTCATGCCAAAGAGTAACCTTCTTCCAAGGTAACCACTCTGGAAGTCACTTCAGATTGTTTTCCAGGGAAAGATGATTTCTTGATGCTTTACAATGCAGTGTTCCCAAGCAAATGACATCCAATAGTTTTTTCGGTTTACTTTTTTCACCTGGCACCCAGCAGGCACGTGTTTTATTCAGACAGTTGGTTTCAGGTATGCTTTTCATTAACATCCACAGAGTGACTTTTAAACAAGACTGAACAAGTTACTCCTCATTTAAAAAAAAAAAAAAAAAAAGGGGAAAAAAATGGAAGTCCTTTGAAAAATAAAATTGGGAAGTCAGTAATGGAAAAACATATTGAAATAGAAAAAAG